CCTTGGTCCCGCCCTCCCCCTGATGACCTCAGGGCCCCTTCCTCCTCACCACCATGTCGCACACCTCAGAGCCTCTTCCCAACACCTTTGCTGTCCCTTCCAGGAAACTCCCTCTCCATCTCCTGCCAGATTTTTGTCTCTCCTGCTTCTTTCCCATGGAAGGCTGGATGGTGGGGAAGTGACCTAGACAGGACTCAGGTCAGAACTGTCCACCCGCTGTTCACAATGCTGGCGTACCCTCCTTCCAGCCGGCTCTCTCCCAGGCACCCCTGGGCACCCCTGGCTTGCTCCTCTGTGCAGGCACCATTCTAGGTGTAGGGAACACACAACTAAACCCCACTCTTAGGCTGAGGCACCCTGACATCAGGTCCCAGAACGGTGGACAGTGTGGAGATGAACAGCGGAGGGTGACTCTGGTACCTCATGCCCCGTTCCCATCCCAGAGACCCTCCTGGGGCCCAGAGTCACCTGTTTGGTTTTGGAGTGGCGCCCGGATCAACATTTTTAGGCGACTACGAGAGCCTCTGCTGACCATCCCACCTACCCATCTTCCCATCCACTGACTGTCATCCTACCTACCATGTATTCTTCTCTCCCTCCCGCCCCGACCCCATACCCCTGCTCATCTGTAGGGCTCTCTGTATATCACTTTCCCATTCCCGATGCTGCTTCCCATCTACCCAGCACTGCACCCTCACCACAGCCCATCCCCAGGCCCAGGCGCATCCTCCTCAGCGGGCAGGTGAGGAACCTGGAGCTTGGAAACAGGGAACTTGCTTCATGACGAACAGTGAGGACCAGAACCTGGCACCATCCTACCACTCAGAGTCTTAATTCTGCATCTGAGTCGCCTCTGGGTGAGACCCTCGAGAGCCTCTGACTGGGTTAGAGTTACAGGGTTCAACCACGGGCAGCCAGCCCTCCCCGAGGTGGACATGAAGGTGTTGAGAGAAAGAGGCATGGCATCTACTCAAACACCAGAACAGCTTCCTTCTGTGCTTCTTGCAAATACAGGTTTTGGGAAAATGAACTCGTGTTTAGTCCTCAGTTGCCCCATGTGTCAAACCAGGGAGCTCCCAGAACCTTCTAGCTGGTGCTGAGGTGTGCTTCCACCAGGAGGGTGGCCATCAACATCACCCTCTCCCCTACAGGATCCACCACCCCACCGCCAGCTCCTCTACAACCTCACCCAGCCCCAGGCCAGCCCAGCGCATGACATGTTTGTCCTCCCTTCCCGGTGGAGGGCTGGACTCGCATCATCCTCTCCTTGCCTGGGCCGCAGAGGTGAGCCAGCGAGCCCGGGCCCACGCCCCTCTCTTAGACTGCCGCGCTCAGCACTTAGGCTTTCTGGGAACCACTGTCCAGAACTCTGGGTTCATGGAGCTGCAATTTTCCTGTGTTGTTGGAGGTGGGGGGGCCATCAGTTATCCTTAATAACCAGGCAGACGACAGGACAGCTTTGCCCTCGGTTCTTAATAGCCAAGAGTGGTCTCCCTCTCCCTCTCTTCTTAGAATAGCAATTCCACTGACTCCATTACTGAAATGGCTCTTGCCTTCCATGCCCTATCCAAGTTGCTATGTCGTTGTTTTATTGCTTCTCTGAAAAGCTCCGACTAATTAAGGTGAAAGCCAGATACAGATGGGGCTGGGCTGTAGCACGAGGCACAGGTCCCTCACTGAGTTGACTGTGGGCTTCACTCGGGGCCCTGTGCTGCCACCTCCTCTTTGCCCAGGGCTCCTGGCCTCCCTTGAGAATTCACCAAGGCCTGCACCATCAACCCAAGAACTGGGACGTTTGCCAACCAGAAGGGGCTATAGGGAGAGACCAGACTGCCCCTTAGGACTCTCAGTCAGGCCTGTGTGCAGACAGCGGGAGCGAAGTCCCCACCAGCTTGGGACCTCAGGTAAACGCTCACCTGTGTCCTGGTCTCACAGAAGTGCTCAAGGCAGCCCCAGCCACCCAGGGCTGCGCATTCAGTGGAGGAAGTGGGACATACATCTCTCCATCTGGGAACCGCAGACCACACCTGAGCCAGAGGATGTCCAGGATCCCAGGGCCATGCAGGCAGTAAGGTCCGGGCTGTGCAGGGGATGGCCACTCTGCTGGGAACAGGGGAGGGGAGGCCAGGACTTTTCTGGAGTCAGGAGACAGTAGACCAAGGCCTTGAGGGTCAAGTCAAAGGAGAAGAAGAGAGAAAGAGGAGCAATGAGCCCCCACCATTTCTTGAGGGCAGTGGAGGAGGGACCCCTGTGTAGGGGGTGAGCAGAATGAGGCCAGCAGGAATTAGAGGCTAGTGCCAAGCTCAGGTTTGGGGGTGGAGGGGCCTCTGAAATCCAGGCTAAAGAGCTGGATGTCTCCCTGAGCATCAGTGTCTGCTCAGGCCTGGTCCTCTTCCGACGCCGCTTTCTGGCCGCAGTAGCAACACTCAGCCGCTGGTCCCGCCAAGTCACTCTCAGAGGACAAGGTGCCCGAAGCGCTCTTGGCAATGGTGCGCATGCTGTTTGGCGCACTGACAGTGGACCGGGCCCTCCACCTGCGGAAACCGTCATCGGGAAGCGTGCTTTCATCTCGTCGGGCAGGCATCACTGAGGGACCTTTGCTGCCTTATCTGGTCTCCTTTCTCTTTGCCCCCAAAAGAAATAAAAAAATTAAAGAAAGACCCACCTGCTAGGGAAGCATCTGCAATTTCAAAGGAGTGACAGCTGATGCATCTGGGCTGAGCTTGTATATCAGCTTGAGGAATATTTATCGGCCTCATCAACTTCCTCCAGCAAGACTCCCCCAGGGACCACTCTAGCTCAGCCCAGCTGCACTCTGCCCCCTCCCTACAAAAAAGGCAAACACTGGGCCTGCCAGGGAGGAGGACAAGGCGGTGCCCAGACCCCGCTGAGAATGGCGGGGCACACAAGGTGGCATCAACCTACTGCCCCCAGGCCTGGAGCTCTAAGCCCAGATTTGGAGACAAACCCCACTCCCCCCATGGGTGCACCCCGGGGTCTCACACCAAATTTCTCTCTGGGCAGAGATATTTGCTGCAAGCTTTCTGGGGGCTCATTTCTCCCCGTTCTGCCAAGAGGAATGTCAAGAGCTTCCCAAGGCCCCTCTGATGAGGCAGATTGGTTGGCCCAATGAAGAAGATTTAAGGATTATCTTAATAATAAATCAGCAGCCAGGCAGCAGGCAGCCTAGACGGGCGAGATTTCAGCACCTGCAGCTGTGGCTGTGGCTTCTTTGTCAAGAACAGATGAGGGGAAACTAAAAACTCGCCTTTTACAGGAAACCAAAGGGAGTCCAGGTGTCCCCAGGGGTCACCTGCAAATCAAATCATTTGGTGAAAGGTAGTTTTATTTTTTTCTTCCTTTCTCCCCAAATAACAACAATTCTTGAAAGAATAACCCCAGTTCTCCTCTTGGCTGTGATGAACCCAGGGAGCTGTGTGGGTCCTGAGCGTCCCAGCGGCTGCCTGGAGGCCCCTCCTCCTCGGTGGGAGGTGCACGCCAGCCATGGCTGGTTCAACAGCATCTGGGGCATCTGCAGGTTTCATCTCAGTTCTGTGGCTCAGGCCTGGGCCTGGTAAAATGCACCTGTTTCGGCCTGTGTGCCTATGAGGTCAAGTGCGGCTCCCCAGATTGGATCCCTGGCAATTTCCTGACCAAAACCTTCAACTTCATCAACCTCATCTTGTTCAACGGGTGAGGAGACAACCAAGTTCATACACATCTGGCTGGGACTCGCCAGGAGCGGCAGGGCCCCTCCAGGAGGGCCCCGCGGGCTGTTGCCATGTTCTCCGGACTCTCTCCTCTCTCTTCACTTTGTTCACACTTGTCTCTCATGGAATGCCTTCTCCTCTCCACTCCACGCTGGGGGCAGATGCCGAAGCTGTGAAATACGGAGTTGGGGGCATCATCACCTCGCTGTGGCTTTCCTCGTGTGGCTCCCTGGTTTTCACGTCCCTGCCGAAGATGGTGGGTGACATGGCCAGCCAGCTGTGCCCGTGTCTGTCAGTCGCCTCAGTGCTCACAAGGTGTTTGCAGTGCAGGAGGAAGGGGGTGATGCTTCGGGAGGGGCTTGCCGGCACCTGCTCCCCACGCTGGGTGCTGCATGTGGATTCAGAGCTCAGACCTGCCGCTGCCCTTTGTTCTTGCTGTCCTCCCGACGTACCCTTCACATCTCCCACACCTGCAGCCGCTTCTCCAGGTCTGGCCTCTGAGCGTCCCTGAGCACCTCTGCTCATCCCAGCTGTGTGTCACCCAGAGCGAATGGAGCCCCTTGAGCACAGTGGGCGATTCTGTGCCCCTCTGCCTCCGTCGGCAGCACCCCACTGTCCTCCTTTCTCTCGGACCCCCATTTCCCATGAGCTCCCAGCAGCAGAACCTGGTCCCCTTCAGACGCAGACTATGACCGGCTGACCCAGCAACCCCACTCCCTCTCGAGCCCAAAGAAACCACTGGGCATCCAGGTCCCACCTGTGTGTTCCTTCCCGATTCCTACCAGACAGCAAGACTGTGTAACACGGCAATTGTTAAAGTGGGACGGACCTGGCATAGGAAAGGGAGGCGAAATCAATGCAATAAGAGCATGAAGACGAACCCCAATGACGATGAGCGATGGCGCCCTGTCCAGAAGCAGGTCCCCTTTTCCTCACCTTGCTCCGCAGCCTGCATGCAGTTTCTAGCAAACTACAAACCCCAGGACCTCATTCTCACCAAGAGCCAAAGTCATGCCAGTCTGCTATGGGGCATCAATCCCGCCAACCGAGCAGCTATGGTCAGGGAACTAGCCAACGCCACCTGCATCTACATCACCATTTCTGTCTCCATCACCACCTGCATCTACATCACCATCTCCATCTCCATCACCACCTCCATCTGTACCATTCAGAAGAAACCTGGCATCATCCAATCCACAGCCCTGTCTGAACCCCCTGCTGTTCGTGGATCTCACCGATAAACATTAGGAAGCTCTGAGCCACATTTCAAATATGATCATAATGACTGACCTTAAAAGAGGACCACGGAGGGATCAGGAACTGTGTCCGGATGTCTGTCCTTCTTTCCTTCATTCCCTTTTCTCCTTGCTGTCTTCTGTTCTCTTCTCTCTTTCAAAAAACAATTTCTATTTTGAGTTTATCCATTGTTGCCAGTCTTTCACTATGATTAACATTTTAGGATTCATTTGCTCTTGTTTTTAATTTTATAAAAGTATAATTGAGAGACATTGAGGAAAGTGTATATATATATATATATATTCTATATATGTAAAATAAGTGCAAAGTTGGTAACTTTTCACAAGCAGAAAACATGTGTAACCAGCACCCAGATCAAGAAACAGAACTTCCTGTCCCCTTCGGCGCACCTCACATCCCCTCAGCTCCACCCAGCTCCCAAGGGAAGCCATCACCTGGACTTCTAACAACACAGATTAGGTTTTATTTTATTTATTTGTTTTTAAAATCAGTCACTATGATTTGTTTTATTTTGTGAGACACAATACCAGAATAAAACAAATACCATTTGTTTTAGTTTTAATAGGATTAGAAAGAACATGTTTCAAAAGTAGACTTGCTGAGGGACAAACTATGTTACTTGTCCCAAAATTATTTTGACATTACGTGAATAGACTTTTAATTTATTATCTTTTTACTTTATGGTCTATTTGTGTAATGCTATAGATTTTCTGAGGAACAACTTTGGAACATTAAATGGGGTATATGAAAGCATAAGTATGCCAGCTGAAGGTCGAACAATATGTATTCGTAATAACATTTTTATTGAGGCTAAATTTATACAGTAAACTCACAATTTAATGAGTTTTGAGTAATGTAAATACCCCTGTAACAACCACTCCAATCAAGACAGCTATTTCTATTGTTCCAGAAAGTTCCCTTCTAGCTCATACTGACTACAACCAATGTTCTTATCAATTATTGTAAATCAATCTTCCCTGTTCATGACCTACATATACATGTAATCACAGAATATGTGCTCCTTTGAACAACACACGGCTTTTCAGATTCATCATTATTACTGCAGGGATTGGCTGGTTGTTCTTTTCTTTGACCAAGTAGCATCTCATTGTACAAATCTATACAATTTAGTCACTCACCTATTCATAGACATTTGTGTTGTGCCCATGTTTATGGATATGTGTTCTCCTTTTTCTTGAGCAAACACCTAGGATTGGAATTGTTTCCTGATGGGGTAGTTGTATGTTTAACTTTCTAAGAAACTTAGAAACTGTTTCCAAAGTACGTACATCATCTGGCACTCCCAGCAGCAACGCATGAGAGTTCTACTTACTCCGCATCCTCCCAACAGCAGATATTAGCAATCCTTTGAGTTGTGACCGTTCTGATGGATGTGAGTGGTATCTCATTGTGTGTTTAAAACTGTGTTCCCCGATGACTGATAATATCCACTTTACATATGCTATTGTCCATCTGTATATCTTCTTTTGTGAAGTGCCTTTTTAAGTCATGTTCTGTTGTGTGTTTTTCTGTTATTGAATTGTAAGACTTCTTTAAATATTCTGGATGTAAGTCCTCTGTCAGATCTATGCATTAAAATATATTCTCCTAATCTGTGACTTGCCTTTTCATATTCTCAATGTTGAAATTTGATGAGCAGAGGTTTTTAATCTTGCAGTCTAATTTGTTAATATTTCTTTTTGTGGTTTGTACTTTTTGTGTCCTCTTTAAGAAATTTTTGCCTACCTCAAGTTCATAAAGATATTCTTGTATGTACTCTGCTGGAATCTTTATACTTTTAGCTTTTATGTTTAGGTCTATGATCTAGGTCTAATTTTTATATGTGTTGTGAAGTATACTTTTTAAAATCCTCACTTGAGGATATATTTTCTATTGATTTCTAGAGTGAGTGGAGGGAGGGAGGAAGGAGAGAAGAAGAAGAAGAAGAAGAAGAAGAAGAAGAAGAAGAAGAAGAAGAAGAAGAAGAAGAAGAAGAAGAAGAAGAAGAAGAAGAAGAAGAAGGAGAAAAAGAGAGAGAGAGAGAGAGAGAGAGAGAGAGAGAGAGAGAGGGAGAGAGAGAGGCAGACACAGACATGAGAGACACACATAGATTGGTTGCCTCCCGCAGGCATGCAACCAGGGCAAGGGATTGAGCTTGCAACTGAGGTATAAGCCCTTGACTGGGAAATCAAACCCAGGACCCTTTTGGTCCATGGGCCAATGCTCTAACCACTGAGCCACCGGCCAGGGCAAGACTTATTTTTTGAACACATTTTCCTAATCTTCTAGGAGATATCTGCTAAAAAATATTTCTTTCTCATTGAAGGTGCCATTGCCTTTGTAAAAAAAAAAAAAATCAGTTGATTGTAAATCTATCTCTGGGTTCTTTATTATAATCCATTGATCCATTTCTCTATGATTTCAATACCACACCATTTTTATTACTGTCGCTATTGATACATTTTAAAGTTAGGAGTTCTCCTATTTCAGTGATGGCGAACCTTTTGAGCTTGGCGTGTCAGCATTTTGAACAACCCTAACTTAACTCTGGTGCCATGTCACATATAGAAATTTTTTGATATTTGCAACCATAGTAAAACAAAGACTTATATTTTTGATATTTATTTTATATATTTAAATGCCATTTAACAAAGAAAAATCAACCAAAAAAATGAGTTCGCGTGTGACCTCTGACACACGTGTCATAGGCTTGCCATCACTGTCCTATTTGGTTGTTTAATTTTCAAGATTGTTTTGGCTATTCTAGGTCCTTTGTATTTTCATTGAAATTTTAGAAACAACTTGCCAATTGTACAAAAAACCTTGTTGATATTTGGATTGGAATTGTGTTGAAACTATAAACAACCATAATCCAATTTGGAGAGAAGTTTCAACAATATTGAGTCTCAAAGTCATGAACATGGTTTATCTATCCATTTAGATCTTTAACTTCTCTTAGCATTGTTTTCTACTTTGTAATATATAGGTCTTACATACCTTTAGTTAAAGTTATTATTAAGTATTTTATGTTATTATCAATGGAATTGTTTTAAATTTTCATTTCCAATTATTTGTTGCTGGAAAAAATTGATTGAGTTTACATATTGAGTTTGTATCCTATGACCTTATTAAAGGTATTTATTACTCCAAGTAATATTTTTGTATACTCTTTAAATTTTTTCATATAAATAATTATGACATCTATAAGTATAAGGAGGCTTGTTGTTTCTTTCCAGTCTCTACAACTTTTATTTTTCTTGCCTATGACACTAGCTAGGCATTTCAGTACAGTGTGGAATGAGAATGATGAGAATAGACATTCTTGCCTTGTTTCCAATCTTAGGAGAAAAGCTTTTAATATTTCAGCAATAAATACGATGTTAACTAGAATTTTCATATGTCCCTTATCAAGGAAAAGCTCTCTTCTTGTCCTAGTTTGCTGACAGTTTTGGTCATGAATAGGCACTAAATTCTGTCAGGTACCTTTTCTGTATCTTTTAAAATGATCATATGGTTTTACTCATTTGTTTTGTTAATGTGATGAATTATATCAGTTGTTTTTTAAATGTCATATCTTTGCATTTCTTCCTTGGACAAACTACTTAATTATGATGTATTACCATTATATGTATCACTGGATTCAATTTGCTAATATTATGTTAGGGATTCTTTGCATCTGTTTCATGAGGAATTTTGGTCTGTAGTTTTCTTATAATGTCTCTGTCAGGTTTTGGTATCAGGATTAGGCTGACTTCCTGAATGAAAGAGTTTGTGTGAGTGGTATTATTTCTCCCCTGTGTGTTTGGTAGTGATCACTAATAAGGCACTCTGGACCTGGATTTCCTTGTGGGAAGAATCCAATAACAAATTCAATTTCATTCATAGATATTGGGCCATTCAAAGTATCTACTTCAAGTTGTATCAGTTTTGGTAACTGGTGTTTTTCAAGGAATTGGTCCACCTCATATAAGTTTCAAACTCACTGGCATAGAGCCTCCCAAAATAATTATTTTATGTCTGTTGGATCTATAATGATATTCTCTCTTTAATTTCTGATACTGGTAATTGGTTAGTCCCCACCCCCTTTTATCTTGATCAGTTCTGCTAGGGATTTTAAAAGAGCTTTATTGATGAAAAACCAAGATGGCAGCATAGGTAAACACTGGAGATTGCTGCCTCGCACAACCACTTCAAAAATACAACTAAAAGATGGAACGGACATCACCCAGAACCACAGGAAGGCTGGCTGAGGGGAAATTCTACAACTAGAAGGCAAGAGAAAAGCATACCGAGACTCAGAGGAGGTGCAGTATGGAAGTAAAATACAAAGGTGCGGAGGTGCATGTGGAGCGGGTTGGCGGCTGAGGGCGCGGCTGTCATTTTCAATCGGGAGGGAGTCTCAGGCTCTGAGCTCCAGTTCCGGGCAAGTCTCTGGGGACCCAGACTCAAACGGGAGAAGTGGGACTGTCTGGCATCGGTCGGAACTCGAGGGCAGCTTTCTCTCCGAGGTACTTGCAGCGGTTGCTGGGACACTGAGAGGCAGAGCCTCTGGGGACAGGACTGAGAGCAGCCATAACTGCTCGCTCCACCCACCCTGTTGATCCCCTGGGACCAGCCCTGCCCAAGCCCTGCACAGAGGCATTTGCTGGATAGCCTCAGGCAAAGGCTAGATTAGCACCTCCCTAGAGGACAGAAGTTCTCCCACTGCAGACACAACTGATTCTCACAGCCAGCTGGCCTGGAGGTCAAATCCCCGCCAGTGTTACTACTTACAACAATCAAGGCTTAACTACAACAAGACTGCGCACAAAGACCACTTGGGGGTGCACCAAGAAAGCATAAAAAAAATGCGGAGACAAAGAAACAGGACACAAATGATAGAAATGGAAGAAAGCAAAATGCTGGATATAGAGTTCAAAACCACACTTTTAAGGTCTCTCAAGAACTGTCTAGAAGCCGCCGATAAATTTAGTAAGGCCCTTGAAAAGACTGGTGAGACCGCCAATAAATATAGTGAGATCGTCAAGAAATCTAATGAGACCCTCGATCTTGTGATAAAGGACCAACTAGAAATTAATCATACACTGACTGAAATAAAGAATATTATACAGACTCCCAACAGCAGACCAGAG